GTCCATTATTTAATTATAAAAATAGAAATATTTATATTTTTTCTGAAATTTAACTCCTATTGTTACATCAAAACTTATGGTGGAAGCTCTAGAGCTTTGCTAGATTATAAGTTGATTATTATGAAGCTAGTTTTGTACTACTTAGTGTGTGATGCTTGACAAAATATATGAAAATCTATATTGTTGCCTTGTCTCACATGGGATGTGCATGAATCTCAAAATAGTATGGCTGGGACTACCTTGATTCTAAACACCTCTAGAAAATGCTTTTGATGGGGATATCAGAGCATGGAGAGTGTATCAGAGGCATGGCCGTGGATCTACGGCCACGATCAAGTCTTTGTATTTTTGAGTCATTTCATGTATTTGTTTTTCTTTATTATGTTATGCAGTTTTATTATTTATGTGTTTCTTGCTTTCCCGTGTTACCCTTTTATTAAGGGAGATCGTATGTAAGCCCTAGGGGCATTGTCGTCCTTTTTTAAGTTTTTGTACGAGGCTATGTATAGCCCTTATTGTTCTTCTTTTCAAGTTAATGAATGATTGATTGCAAATTTTCCTTCTCTTTCTTTGAGTCCTCATGAGAACTTAAGAGATTTGAGTGAGATTTGAGTGAGATTCCTAGGAGAGGGATAATTGCGCATCACCCACCAACCTAGACGAGTTGGGCTCGTGATTTTATTATATATCTTTACCTTCATCCTCAAACCTCCACCGCCGGCCATACCTCCCCCTTTCCCACCCACGCACAAGCCTCCATCCTCACCGAAACCCCCCTTCCCCTCACTCGCAGAAACTCCTCAAACAACCCCACCACCCACCGGTCCTAGCCCCCCATTCCCCTCCAAAATTCAAATCCCCACCTTGTGCACCTTCCATAAATGATTCCCCCTTAATTCAGGAAGGTTTGTTTTCAAATTTCAATTTAATTTGAAATTGAAAATTTCTTTCATAATTGGAAAATCTATTTTAGGAAAGTTCTTAAATTAAATCTATTTGAATTTCAATTTCAAATTGGATTTAATTAAAACCTTTCCTAATTCCTAAAACCAAATTAAGAAGCTTTAATTCCCCTCATTATTAAGCCCAATTAGCCCCCATAGCCGCCGGCCCCATTAAGAGATATTTGGGGATTTATTTCCTAAAGCCCCATCTCCTCTCTTGGAAAGGTTTTCAAAATTCCCCAAATCCCTCCTTTGGCCGAGATTTCATAAGTCCACCTAATTAATTATTTCCAAAGAGGAATATCTCTTATTGGAAATAATTTAAAGCCCCTCTCATGCATGCCGCCGCCCCTACCTTTCTCTCTCCTCTTAATTAATTCCATGCATGAGGATTAATTAGAGGATTGATTGGCACCTCTTCCCTCCACTCCAATTTCTTTCAAAACCTGAAGTTAATTTTCCCAAACCATCTCCTCTGGACCGGCCACTCCCTTTTGTCTCCTCTGACTTGGATTTTTGAGAGAAATCCCTCTCTTGCAAAGGGCAAACAACAAGGGCATCCAAGAGGGTATTCCTCCCTCACCTCAACGCCACAAGTTCGATGCATGGCTGATCCGGATCTTGATTACGGTCTAACTTACGATGAACAAGGGTTTGTTTGCATCCTGCATTTGACCTTTTTCGACGTCAACCCTCGCATTGACAACACCGTCGAGGAATACGTGGAGCGCATTCTAGATACTCTCGTCAAAGCCATAGAGGAGCAACTTGGTACCGTACAGTGGAGGATTACATCCGAGCCTTGACGAAGGTCTTCCAATCTTCCTCATCTTGTATTTCCTTAGTCTAAACCTCTTTCTTGTGATTTGATTTAATTCATGAAGATCGTGTTTGCCTAACTTTGTCGAGCTTAGTAAACATAGGGATTGAGTGCACTTCATTTATTTCTAATCTTATTGTTAGATTAAGAATTTCTGATGAAAGCTATTATATTTGCATGTTGTTGATTTTTTTTTTTATGTTATTTTGATAATTCAAAGCTCTTATTATGCAACTTAGTCTAAACGAAAGTGACCGCTCTTACGTTTTATTTTGTCGTTCTTATTTGCTAATAGTTCTAATCATTATTATTCTAATCAATAAGTCATGCAAGTTCTTATCAAGTTACTTTATGCATTGTAGTCCTACATCAGCTTTCCTACAAAGCATTTGAATTTTTTGTAGGGGCCATAGTGTATGAATTGTCCTCCTCTCCTGCCAATGGGCACAAAGCCCTTACATGCTTTTTTTTTTTACTTCAGAAAGAATTGCTTTGAACTTATAGCATAACTTTTGCCAATGTTCATGCTTAACATTTATAGAGCTTATCACTACTACCAACTCGTTCCTTATTAGTAATTTTTTTTATTATTCCCTGGAATATTATAATGGCAATTAATATAGAGGATTAACTCCTACAGTTTCTGCTACAGATCTAACATGTAAACCAAATAACATAAAGAACAGTAAAATTTTATAGGGCAAACTATTATTCTTGGATTATTAATTGCCACCTTTGATGAAATCTAGAGTGATGAAATCCAACTTCGAGGAAGATTTATGATTTTGACTAAGTTAATGGCAACGGTCACGAAAGTAGTGCACAATATTGAAGCCTTCATACTATACCAAAAAAAAATTCATATTATACTAAATTTGATAAAACTCAATCATACTTTAGATTTTAATTTTATATTAAATTCGATGAAACACAAATCATACTTTCAACTAATGACAAAAATAATGATTAGAAGAAAAATGCGGAATCAGGGAAGAGAAGAAAAAAAATCACAATGAAACCAAGCCTCATACTTCTATGACATAGCTAATGCTAGAATTTTAAGCCTCAGTCTTGTAAAGGAGTTGAATTTTAAAAGAATGAATTTGCTCATCCTAAAAACCAAAAAAATATTCATACAATTTTTTTTCTTACATGCCTCAAATATCTACTTCTAAACACCAAAATTGAATCCTAATAAATCTCCAAGCAGTAACTTCCAAAAGAAACCATAGTAACAATTAAAGAACCATAATTGCTAGACCACGAGCTCCAACCACATTCCTAGAAAAACATTAGATATTTCAGACATTGTTTAAAATTGCGTAATATGAGGCTCGCTTTAGTGTAATTACAGGGAAAAATATCTCGAGGCTTATGTTTCAAACTTTTTTATAAGGTTGGCTGAGCCCCACCTTGAGACGTGTCTCGCCTCGCTGGCATCAAGCATACACCTCATCTTATATATATATAAATGGCGAACTGAAGTCCTGAACAAATCACACCTTCATGTACACCCGAGCCTCAACAATTTTCTCTCAACTGTCTCGACCTCCAACCTATTACCTTTGCCGCAACCATGATGTGGTAGCCACTGCTTGGGATCACTTAAAAGTTGCACACCACCACCACCTCTAAAAATTTTAGAGTATTATTATCATTTTTATGTTGATAACAAATATTTATGAAAGAGGAAGATAACTTAAATAAATGATAAAGAAGTAGATTGAGAGGCATTAGACTCCACAGGATGAGGTAGGGGAGAGGCCAATTTGTTATGACGACGACTCAAATAAAGATCCTTTTAGTGAGAACAGTGCAGATGATTTTTGAGTGTTGATAGTTATTTCAGCTTTCTTTAGGAATTAAATGTCCATGAATAGAGTGCTAAGAAAGAAGGAATATGAAGATGAAGTTTATGTTATTTGATACTTTTATGTAATTCCTATATTTTATATTATTTTGCTCTTGTAATATTTTAATTTCGATTCTATTTCGTGCAATTTATCACTTGTTACTTTATGTCTTGTATAGTTTTTGTTTCATATATATGTCAATTTGTTACTTTATAATTTAAGAAAAAACTAATATTTAATTTTTTAACATATTATTTGGATATTATATAAAAAATAACTTTTAACTTTTATTTTTTACTTTATAGAATTTTTAAATTTTGAGACTTACGCCTCAAAACGCCTTGAGGCTTATGCCTCCAAACAAAAAACGTATCAATACCCAATTATGTAATTTTAAACTTTGATTCTAGAAGTAGTTCTGCTTGCTAACTACAACTACAAGAATCACAAAAGGAGCGACTTATATAGAAACCTCAAGAGGTGGCACCAATAGAAATAGGTAAACCACTAATATCTAAACCACAAGAGTGCTGCCAAATAGCAACAAAAAAGCTGCTCAAATGCCCTAAAAGGGTAAATATGGTATGTTCAATTATGCTGTGGCAACCCTAGGCTTCTAATAGCTAAAGGATGCCATCTCCTATACTATATCTTTGATCAATATGGTGAAATCTGTGAGCCTTGGATGCAATAGGATTAATCTTCTATGATCTCACGAAATTTTTTTTTCTTCTCGTTTTTAGCAGTTCATGGTTCTTGTCCTTTTTTTTTTGGGAATTTTATGGGCAGAGCCAGCACATAGACTATTAGTTTCAGCATGGCCGACCTCCATCATATCTGCATCTCTAACTTTTACATGCATTCAAACCAAATTCTGTCTTATTAATAAATAAAAAAATTCAGCTTAAATTATGCTCATTCTGAATTCCATTGGAATTCATTCTCGTCAAATTTTCTTCAAGGGGAACTATTAGCTAACCAGTGCCTTTATAGAGTTTGCTCAAGTTAAATCCAAAAACCGTTGAATGTATTTAGTGCAATCCTTTTGTGCTTTATTCTGATCAGTTCAGTTCATGATTTGGATCTTTTCAATAATTCAATTGTGAGGTTAGGATTGACTGATTAACAAGAAAATACAACAAAATAAGTTAGGGTTAACAATGGGATTGCCGAACTACTAAGGTTTCGTTTGGGACAGCTTTCTTATTACTTCTCAAAGCAGTTTTTTTAGTACAAAATTTTTTTTTTTTTTATGCTAGAAAGCTGTTTTAAAAAGCAACAAAAAAGTTATCCAAAACAAAACCTAAATCTAAGTCAAAATAAAATTCAATTCCATTTTTCTAGTTTCTAACACTCCTTTCTTATCTCTGTTGCTTCTTAAAGGCAAAGGAAAGCGAGGTTGCTCCTTTACTTGGTGTTGAAAATGGAACAAGTTTAGCCACTGATGGTCTCCTTCCCAAAGTTCCATCTTGGAGCTCAAACAAAGATCTAAATGCCTGAGCTCTTCCTTCCCAAATTTTGCAAGATCTTTTTCCAGGAGTACACAATTCTTTGGCTAGTTCCTACAAAGTTGGAACCTGGGAGCCACATTCTTATAATCGTTTTTGTTCTGCTTAATATATATACAGAAGGTTAAATTATGAACTGTATATTAATGATTATTCCCTTGAGAGTGACTATATGGTTGACTCATGTAAATCAGTTGAGCTCTTTGAACTAAATATTTCATTAAGTATTTGAACTTTGCTGTATCTTATTATTAGCAGTCTTCTGTTCAGTAAATAAACTATGTACTCTGATATTCAATTCCAACATGGGCTGTGAGTTGATCATTTTGTTCTACTTGTGCCTGTTCTTTCTAAAACTTATGTAAAGGAAAATGGAAAATACATCCAAAATAATATCTGAAAATGAAGTTATTCGAGTTTATTGCGCCCATCAGCTTTCCTTTCAATCAATTTTTTTCCTAAGATTGGATATCACATTACTTCTCATAACACTTGTTAAACATTGACAGCCAGTTAATATATATATAAGGCTTCATTTGAGACAATTTTAGACTGCCATTTTTTCTCTGCTTTTAAGATATTGTTTAACTAAAAAATAGCTTTACAAAGCAGTAAGGGCATCTCCAACTGAAAATCTCATTTTTCACTCCAAAATGCCGTGAAGCTAAAAAATGCTGTGATTCATCTCCACTTGAACTCCATCTTGCCCCCTTTTGTGAAGGTAACGGTCGCTCTCTTCTTTCATGCGTTTCCTCTACAAGTTCGGTAGAGACAAAAAAATAGCGAAGATGAACAGTGCAACGCCCACTGTTCACCCGCAATCAAATAGCGAAAATTTTACCGTTCGGCTGGAGCTCGCGAGGGATGTCAATCAATTGTTTGAAGTTCGGTTGGAGATGCCCTAAGAAAGCCGTTCTAAACAAAGCCTTAATATTGCAGGTTACAATGCAAAAAAAAAAAAAAAAATGCTATCATATAACTTGTAGAATACTGTAGGGATGACGAATTGCAAATGTTCATCGCGGCGATCCAAATATCAGATCTCAGCTTTTAAGATTAGAAAAATACAGTTAAATCATGAAAAAGGAAGCATTTTCATGATAATAATATGCTTATGTGAAGCATCAAAGTTGCTAAGATTTATGTCCATGATAATATTATGCTTATACAGAACAGCATCATTAATAAGAAGTGCGAGAAACAGAAGGGCTTAGAATATACATCTTGCAGTCGTGAGGTTCAACTGAAGCTGCGAGGCTTCCAAAAACATTATCCGCTACAGTCTCGTGCTGCAATAAAAACAAATATGTATTGTTATCTATGAAAACCAATGTTTTGAAAACTGGGCCGGATAACAAACTGGAAGAAGGAGAGGTTCACCGTTCGACCGGTTTGATCGGGTCGAACCGGGGTCGAATCGAGGTCGAACCGGATGACGTAAAAAAATATTTTATATTAAATTAAATTAAATTATTTAAATATATTGTTAATATTAATTGAACCAGGCGGTTCACCGGGTTCAACGGTTGTCTGGTTCAACCGGCGGTTCAAACCGGTTTTCACCGGTTTGATGCTATATAGGTTTTTTAAGAGGACCGGTTCATGGTTGAACTAGTCGAACCGGCCGGTCCAGTCTGGTTTTCAAAACCATGATGAAAACAAAATATGATTTTAATATTTTTTTGTGATAATTTAATTTGACTGTTAGTAGATTTGGCTGAAATTTTGATGTCATTTTTTAGATTTTAATTTAAAGACATCAATGATATTATATAATAGATGAGAGCCAAAGAATCCTTAAAAATCACCTCAATAAAAAGTTAAAGGGGAATTAACATATATACCACAATTTTTGTATATTTGTATATCTAACAATTAAATATTTATATTTATTAATGCAGCACAAATTTTGAAGCACAGATAAATAATCCTAATATTAATTTATCTAGACTTAAATATAAATTTCATGCATATATTTTGATATTATTTAAAAATTAGAGGTATATAAATGAATATAAAGAGTAGAAAATAAGAATTCTATAATATGTATGTAAATTCCCCAAAAATAAAAGTTAGTTTTTCTATATCAAGCTGTACGAGATGATGACCATACATATCTACATAACAATATAACATTCTAGGAAGAGTCTTCCTTCTCCCAGATTGCAATCTAAGGTTACTTGGCCTAAAGGTTTCAGCACATAAAATATCAAATTATTTTCTATGGTTTTTCATTAGTTGTAATTAATCTGCAGAAAGATATTAGAGTGGGAGAAATTATTCGTTGCGGACTCCAGAAGTATAGAATCGTATGGATTGTTTAGTATTTGTTGTTATTTACTATGTATTACACAGTAACTAAGCAACAAATACGCAAAACATTAGCAAAAAATACAGTAAGTACTCATCAAATACTCAACAAATACTCAACTGAGAATTTGCTAAGTATTTACTGCGAATAATAAGCAACAAATACTCAGCAATCCGATTGATTTTGTATGTCTAGAATCCGCACAGAATACTTTTCCATCCTGAGCTACTGAATGTTATTTTTTTAAAAAAAATTCATAAAATTTGTTTTAAGATAATGAAAAGTACCTTCCATAGATCTCTTACAGAGAAGCTGGTGGATGTCTCGAGTCCAAGAATTTCCCATTTGGCAGTGATTTTGGCAGCATCTGAACATCGATTCCACAATGCTACAACCGTGCGCTCACCCGATAGCGGTCCAGCCCATACCTGAAATTTAATAATTTGATATATAGCATTGAACAATAATAAGATTTTAAAATCAATCCAAACCTGACTGCAGTTATTATTGCCTGTAACTGAGACCTTTCTCCCTTGAACACCAAGAGGATCTATAGAAAATTCAGAAATTATCTGACAACTAAATATGCTGTAATCAGCAGAATTTAATCTGCATTTTCTTACAAATTAAGACTAGAAAGTTCTATATAAGGAAAAAAAAAGACTAGAAAGTTCAAGAACTACCTTGATTCACCGCAATGACCTCCTTATTACTCAAGATTTCCACTGTTTCAGCACTCATATTTCTTACATCACAGCCAATCAAAAGAGGAGCCTATAAAAGAATATGTCCTTGATAAGGCAAAGGGAAAAAAAAAAAACAATAGATAAGTTTGCCATAACTTCCCCAAGAAATCAAAGTTGAAAATATATTCCAAATAGCTGGATTCGGCTCTTCTTGTGGGGCCCAGCAAGCCTTTAAATCATTATATTAGGAGAGGGAGAGAAATTAATTAGGAAAATATTTCCTAACTGAATTCAAATTTGAGAGGAAGTTTTGTAATGAAAGAAATCAGTTTTGGCGGGAAATAGGATAGCCTATTTATAGTTGATTCTAGGGTTTGTTTTGATTATTATGTGATTTAATTTTCTTCTGTACTTTTCTTTCTTTGAAGGCTTCCTAACAGCGTCTAGGTTAAGTGGGAAAGGCGACCTACTTCTCTAAATGTAGATCATTGTATCTTGCTTTGTTGTTGAAGAATTAATACAAGAATCATCAATCGACTCTCAACTTCCTGCAATTTTTATTGTGTTCCTCACTGATTTCACATTAAAGGCATATCAAATTGCTATCAAAGTCGTGTCCTGGACCAAAGTCGCAGTTCTCCTTGTTGAAATCGGCTGCATAATTCCTTCTCTTTGCTGATTGAAGACCGTTCATTGCTGTTTTTTGCCCTTTTTTTTCAATTTGGAACCTAGATCAGTGAATATCAGCAAAAAAGATGGAGGCCTTGCAAGGAGAGAGAACAATTCAAGGCCGGAATGGAGGAAAAAAATTCCGGAATGGAAGGAATATTGTCATCCATGGAAACCCAAAGGGAAAACCAATTCGAGAACATGTAAGGCATGATGATTCAAAGGCTTCACTGGCTAGTCCAAGGGCTAATCCAAAAGGAAAGAAACTTCAGGAAGACAATGATAAAGTAGTATTTTTTTCCCTCAAGAACCATCCCATAGGCTCCAATGGAAGGTGCATCAAGGTATCCCAAAGAAGGGGCTGCAAAGAGAGGGGAGGTTGAAGCCTTTTGGAGCCACCCATGCATGAGGGACCATGGGTTGGAGGAAGCGATGATTGGCAAAACCATGTGGTCCAAATCAGCCAAGGAGGAATCATACCATCACTTCATGGGTGGAACTAATGGAGAAAGAAACTATTGGGGTATGAAGGCCAAATCAAGGAAGTTAAAAATGCCGGTCTTTGAAGGGGAAGAGCTCAGGTTTTGGTGTATCGAATAGAGTGCTACTTTGCTATCAATGGGCTGATAGAAGGAGAGAAATCATGGCAACGGGTCTATGCTTGGAGGGGAAATCCCTTGCTTGATTTCAGTGGAGGGAGGCCAGATATCCTATCTATTCGTGGGGAGAATTCAAAGATTGCTTATTAGAATGTTTCTGAGCCATTCGGGGAAGGGGACCTCCACGAGCAGTTTTATGCCTTAACACAAGAGGGGACTATTATAGAATATCGATAGATATTTGAACTATTGTTAGGAATACTGAGGGGAGTTTCTACAAAAGAGTGGAAGGAAATTTCATGAAAGGCCTTAAGGAAAACATACGAGCAGAGCTCAGGATGTTGAGACCTAGAGGTTTGAGGGAGATGATGGAGCTTGCACAAAGGGTGAAGGAGAAACATTAGAGGGAAAAGGTCAGCCAGAGCAACACCATGGTAGGGATGTCAAAACCAGGTCACGAGTCGGGTTTGGGTCATACCCGAAATTGACCCGACACTGTTCGACCCCCGAACCCGACCCGTTTTTGCAAACGGGTCGGTTTTCCGAACCCGAACCCGACCCGCTTCGGGTCCGGGTCAACCCGAACCCGACTCGATTCGAGTATATTTTATTAATTTTTTTTATTTAATTCAATTTATTTAAATCTAAATCTTAAATTGATGTAAGATTTACTTCAATTAATTTAAAATAAATTAAGATTAATTTAATTTGAGCAATAATATTTATAATATTTTGAAATCTTATTTACTTATTTCATAAAAATCCATTAAAACCCACCTAAATTAATTAAAAACGGATCAAACCGGGTTGATTTTGGATTTCCATGTCAACCTGAACCCGACCCCTGATTTTACAAACGGGTCGAAATCCCTAACCCGTTCGAGTTGACCCAAACCAAAAATTTTCGGGTCGAGTTTTCGGGTCAGGTGAAATATTGACACCCCCTATCATCCAATATCATTTACTTATTTCATAAAAATCCATTAAAACCCTCCTAAATTAATTAAAAACGGGTCAAACCGGGTTGATTTCGGGTTTCCGGGTCAACCCGAACCCGACCCGGTTTTACAAACGGGTCGAAATCCCTAACCCGAACCTGACCCGGTTCGGATTCGAGTTGACCCGAACCCAGGGGCGGAACCAGCCTTTCATCTTAGGGGGGGGGGAAATTTTCTTATTATAGAAAAATATTAAAAATAAAAATAAAATGAGGACATAATTCAAAGTGAAATCTTGTATTCCAATACGATAGATAAATTAAAAATCATTACAATTTTATCAATCTATTTTGCATTTTTTCATAATATTGGATTACATCTTTATTGGGAATAAAATCAAACACATCTTTTTCAATATTACCATATAAAGTTTGGGAAAATTGATGACTTCTTGGTTGATGGGGTTCCTTCAATAGATATGATCTTCGAATCTTATCTCTATCATTTACATCATAACTCCAAATAGGAAGTCGGGGTCCTGGATCTGCTGGGAGATTGTTAATATTAACTTATATTCGCTCTTTTCTCTTTAAATAATGTTCCATTTATTTTATCCTATAATGAAATTTAATTATAAAAAATGAGCAACTGTTAATCAAAATATTTATATCAAGATCAAACACAATGTGCAAACAAAACAAATACTAAAATAATTATGATATTGTTAGTAAAATCTTCAATTCCATTCTAGGTTCACATGCATATCATATATCTGACATTCCACATTTACACCTAAAATGAAGCATTAATACCTCTCTTTAGTCTTCCCTTCATTAGCACCATTGTATGTGTCGTATTAGAATTTAATCACTAAGTTTGCTGTTTAACTACAAATATGCATATAAATATATTGAATCAGCTTGAATCACATTTTGACCAAGCCATATTCACTCGAAATCAAGTTGAGATATTGGCATATAACTCAACTTGGAGTGCATGGATTGTCTGCTAACAATGTTTCTGGCGATGTTCTCATTTTCAAGCTTCAGAAAAATCTCAAAATTTTTAACCGAAGCAGGAATTATCATCAAAAGAAGTCAGGTAAATGCTAATTAGGGCTTTTGCAGTAGTTTTCTATTACTACTTATGTTAAATTCCCTAGCTATTCTCTCTACAGATCAAGATCAGTGCTAAAGATCAGAGGAAAGTTGCAAGGGAGATCAAGACTACGCGTGCCTTAGGGCTTATGCCTTTTACCATTCTATGGCTTATTTCATGATAATAAAAAGGGAGCAGCTGGACTTACCGGAGCCTGCAGAGCGTGAGTGGCTGAGCGCAGAGATGCCGAAGAAAAATGAAGTTCTCGCCTCCTCCAAATCCAAGTGAGCAAGCGATTGATGAGCGAAGAGAAAAACCACAAGCAGTGATGCCGATTGATGAGCTCACCACGGCCGACGGGATTCTAGCGTCGAGCGGAGAGAAGAGAACCTAGGGCGCACGGCGGAGTCTCGAGCAAAATGAATGGGGCGGAAATGCCAAAAATAACGTTTAGGGCAACTTTTTACCTACTGAAGGAGCAATTTACTAAAAAAGTCTTCCTTTAATACAGATTTTAATTTTTTTAGGGGGGGGCAATTGCCCCCCTGGACTGGGCGTGGTTCCGCCCCTGCCCGAACCCGAAATTTTCGGGTCGGGTTTTCGGGTCGGGTCAAATATTGACACCCCTACACCATGGGAGGGGCTTATATGAGTACTTCCACATTCATGAAGTGAGGGAATGGCCCCATGTCATGAACTGCGGGCAATAGGGCATATCAGCATGTACAAGAATAAATCAATTATGTTCAAATCATGACAAGTGAAAACATAGCAGTATCAAATGCGCTGTAACGGTATCTGATTTTATCATTTTGATAACATGGAGGCCTGAAAAATGATGAACCCAAGTAAGAAAAAATGGAATTAGTATGTGTGGATAAATAACATGTGCTCCCCAGTAAGAAAAAATGAAGAAGATATTTTCGTTAAAAAAGAAAAAGAATAAAATTGTACGTATATTTTTTTAATAGATGTCTTCAATTTTCTTTAGTTCTTTAGTTCAAATGTGTATAAATTACATTCTAAGTTTTTTTTTTTATTTTTTATTTTTTATTAACGAATAGATGTCACCCATCAAACCCATCCCGATACAAATTTTGCATGAAAAGGTCCTGATATAATTTTTTCCCAAATAAACAAGCACCTTCATCAAAGCCCAGATACTGAAATGCGATCGATACTCTGAATAGTTCATCCCATCATTACCAACTTCTAGCATATCAGGGTCTGACAAGAACAATGCCATTCATTAAAATCACATAATAACAACAAATAATCATGATCGCAAAGGAAGTTCATAAACAATTTAGGAGCACTAGCTTACCATTCCATCCACCTGGCCCGGCATATGATGCCCATTTGTCATTGATGTCAGCAATGGCAGTCATACTAAATATGTAAGAATTCACAATTAAAATCTCATACAAATGAACATCATTCATAACGAATAAGATAAAGAGAAAAATCCTCACCTATCCCATGTATCAGTTATGTCATCTGTTGTCCTCCAACTATTACCAACCTTGCCAGCCCATAAGGCTGGATCATCTTCTCCCCTGCGAGGAAAAGTAGAGTAAATACTTCTACGCCATCATAGAAAGTTGACATGCAGAATTATAAGAAAAAATTATTACCATTCACAAATGGAATAGAAAATAACCCGTTCAGTTGCGTTTAAGGCATCACGCATGGGAGGATAACTGAAATTGATGGCCAATAAAAATTAGAATTGAAGATCAAAATTGCATTAATATTGAAGCATTAAGATGAGATAGCACCGTTTCTCAGGTTTGATCCCCAAATTGAAACAATTATCATATTTTAAGTAGTCAATACCCTATAAAAAATAAAAAGATATAAAATGAAACATTTATCAGGTAGAAAGAGGAAAAAAATGAGTGAAAAAACTTAAACATTTATGCATAAGTTTTAATTATTTGGCATCAAGAATCACAAATCTTACCCAAGAAGCAAAAATCTTTGCATCGTCTTCCTCATGGAAGAGAGAGCCAGGTCGAACTTGACATGTAAAAGCCCTGAATTTTCAAGCACATCCTAGAATGTCAGATAGGTTAAGTTATACAGATTAACCTCTTAAAATGAGTATTAGCTAAAAAACTTTAATAGAGCTACATCATTAATCGACAGTTTTCCTTTTTTCCTCCTTAATTCTCTTTGTAAATAATTAGGTTAGCCATGATAATGCTATAGCAGGTGCACTACACATGTATATGGTCTGCAAGTGCTTTAATGCTGAAGAAAAATGTCAAGTCTGAGGCCTTACCCAGCATCAGAGTAAATACCAAGCTTGAGGCCTTTTTCATGTACATAGTCTGCAAGGGCTTTAATGCCAGAAGGAAAAGCCTTTTTATCAGGTACAAGCTCACCCTGTACAATAAATTAAATTTACAAAAGAATAATGTCAAATGAATTGAGGAATTTCAAATAGTTGGGAGAAGTCTAATGATGATGATGACTTACAAATGCATGCTAATGAAAAGTAGTATGAAGAGGGTTCACTTACAAAAATCATAAAGATCCTTTTTATCAAGGGATTGAATCATCAAAATTTGTAAATTAAATCCTTCATAAGTTTGGTAAAAAAGAATCTCAAATTGCAGAAAATTAAGTTAAGTGTAGCAAAGATGAGGATGCTCAGGTGGATGAGTGGCTTTACTCTTAAAGACATGATACGAAATGAGCATATAAATGAAAAGGTTGGAGTAGCTCTAGTGGAAGATAAGATTAGAGAGTCGTCTTAGATGGTTTGGTCACATAAAATGGCGGCCTTCCGATGACCCGGTTAGGAAAGTAGTTGTATTAGATTTGACTAATGTTAAAAAAAGTAGAGGTAAACCTAAAAATACTTGGTTAGAAAATATTAGAAATGACCTTTCTTTATTAGATTTAAATGAGAATTTAACTTTTAACAGGCTCCAATGGAGAAAAAGGATTCATGTAGCGACCCCACATAGTGGGATAAAGGCTTGTTGTTGTTGTTGTTGTAAGTTTGGTAAAAAATGAATTCTATGAACCATAAACAAGCTACCTCCTCAAAGCGAATATAAAGTATGCACAAGTAGAGATATGCAAGTCCTAAAAAAGATACCAAAATAAAAAGAAATATCACAAGTGTGAGTTTGTGATAGTCGCAAATACATATCTAATAAATAAAATTTTCTAGACTATACACTAGCATAGATACAAATACACCCAATGAAAAACATAGTTCAAAATTGCAACCACAAATTAAAACACTCAGCAATCATTACATAGTTGGAAGAATATTTAAATCAAATAATATGTATTAATTGTCTTGTGAATGCTGCATTATATAACAACATATATCACTTGACTGCATTCGGAGATATTATCATAATAATGTCTAAATGAACTACGCAGAGTAGTATTTTTGGATACAATATCCAACTTTTTCCCAAGGAAAACATTAAACAACAAATATTTAGTGTATTTGGCACAAAATTTATTTAGAAAGCTATATGTGAATATAACATATGAATAGAACACCTTTCAAAACACTAATTTGTTCACATAATAAATGAACTAAGGTAGGATTAGGGTTTACACCTAATTATCCACAGATCCCTGATAAAATAGTCAAGCGCTATGTAACATATTTGCTCCTATTTTTTGAAGTAGATAGATGTCAAATAGCTAAACATTGGCAATAAAGGTCAATCATTAATAAAAATTTGTTAAATCAAGTACCTAAGATATCAAACAAGAATGAATCAACCATACACATTCAACCCTCGCTAGATATTGGGATATGGTGACACAAGTTTTAGCTACTTTTGAATCCCACATGTAACAATTCACAATAAGCAAAGAAGAGTCCGAAGAAGCCTTCTTTCCTCTTTCAACTAGAAATTACATTCCACATTTAGAAAAATGATTGAACTCCCAAACCAAATGCCATTACCAAAAGAAGCATCAGTAGTACAAATTCATTTATTTATTTTTTCATGACACACCGAAAAATGAGATGTTAAAAGAGTAATTAATAGTGAGATGCAACAAACCTTTAAATTGCGCAATAGTGAAGACCAGCAGTCATCTGTTAGGATAGATAAATTAAAATATTAAAAAAAGTAGCATATGAATCTATATTTTAAAAAATCAATAATATCTCTTATAGAACTTACCTATATTAACATACCTGTAGCCTAAATCAGCCAGGCCAGTTGAGATCAGTGCATCAGCTGCCCATATAAAAGAAAGAAGATCAACATTACAGCTTTGAAAGAAGTAACAAGAATTGCCCAAATAGAACTTAATTATACAATATGAAATGATGCACGTTCACAGACAACCCGAAACATGAAATAATGCACAAAAATTGCCCCTATAAGAGTATGAATATAAGTACAACCCCACTCAAGACTACTAGGCTGCACATGGCCACTGCAGCCCTGAAACAATCCATGCTGCATAGGCTTCCTCTTTGCCTTGTGGCATGCAGGGAAACCTGTGCTCTTCTGGTGTCTGCCAACATTCCCTAGATAGGCTGTCAAGTAGGATTGTAAAGATGCACAGAGATGTTTTGCATATCTTCTTTCAGTGTATTCTCATGATTTTGTTGAACTTGGTGAATCCCATTTTTACCTTCTTTTATAGTATGTTGGTTTTAAGTTCATGAATATTTGAACCGAGCATTAAATAGATAAATTGGACAGAGTTTTGATATCACAAACTAAAGAGGAGTTTTGCTAACCAAGATCCTCACTAGAAGGGGATCACAACCAACTCAAATTAGCGTATGATAATCTACAGGGTTTTATGTGATCTAGACCTTGCTACAATAATTTCTTATAACCCGAACTACTTGTGGAGAGTTTTTTGTGAACCCATCCTTTAGTGATAGATTCTTGTAACCTAAAATTTTCCAATAAGGGTTTTTACTAGGCGTATACATCGTTCGGTTTGGTTTCAAACCGACCAATATTTAAAATCAAACCAAATCAAGTTGATTAATCAAACCTAAAACAAAAATTAGATCGACATTATTAAAAACAAACCAAACTTATGCAATAAATTTGATTTACTTTCAATTTAGTTTTTGGTTTAGAAGCATAAATCTTAAGGAATCAAAATTTTCATTTCTATTTGAAACTTCAGGAGGAGAGAGAATCATAGGCTCGAGCACTGGAATTTTATATTTGTTTTGTGTGTGTGGGGGGGAGGGGAGACTACTCATGTAGTGTTTGAGGAATCTGATCCTAGGAAGTCTAGAGTTGAGGATGAAGATGAAGTTGGAGAGATCACCACTGGAGTTGAGAAATTGGAGAAGAGGGTAGATGATGTGAAACCAGGAATTGAATCTTAGAAAATTAATATAAGTTTGTTAAAGTAATGATAGTACAATCTTGATGCTTCTCACAATTGATACTTAAAAAAAAAGATCTTAGATTTCAACCAAGTCTAGGCAAGTTGTTACAACTAAATTAGCAAGATCAATAAAATAACGATGTCAATTAAAAGTAATGACAATGAAAAGCCAACTAGAATCCGGAAGTTAACAAAGCGATCGTCTCACCTTGAGGCTTAAGCTCACTCTTCTATGTCTAGGGTTGTCGGAGGAAGAAGAACCACACAAGGAATGAGACCATTCTGAGGTAGACGATGCAGGCAATCCGTAGTGATGGAGAGGAAGGCGTAGGATGTGGAGGTGGCATGGAAGGTCGGACGTCGATGGTCCACTCGTAGTATAGACTTTGTCTGTCGATGACGTGCACGAGGGTGGGGAGGATCCAATCCAAGTAAGCTCCAACGGTGTCGTCATCGGAGTCAAATCCCGCATTGAAGAATGGCGATCGTAGGATGTCGAGATTACTGTGGGCATCGAACACAAGTCCCCATTCAAATTCGGGGTCCGCCATGCATGGTGGGATCTAGTAGGGAAGACAAAGAGGGGAAATGAGAGAGCAAGCCGTGAGCAAGTGGAGGGAGGGGGGTCACGGGTTGGAGAGGGGTATAGGGGCGGGTGGAGCTATGGGGGGAAAAACTTAAAATCTGAAATTTAATTCAGATTTCCGAAATTGGAGAGTTCTTAATTTCAAGCGACATGGGGGCTGGGCGGTGGCTGCTGGTCGGCTGAAAGGGGCTGCAGGCCGGCGGCCTGGGCAAGCCAGGGAGGGACGGCGGCAGTGAACAAGGGAGGGGAAGTGGCAGAGGAAATTTTGGGATTCAAACGTGAATTCCACTCTCCACAAATGCTTCAACCCAAATCTCCACGAAGACGAAGTGATCAAGAGAAATAAATGAAAAATTAGAAGAACAAGAAAACCTAGAACTCACAAAGAGATCTAGTTCTCCTACGAACTCACTAAGAGATCGAGGAGATTTGCACTCACAAAGAGAACATGAAACGTAAATTTTCATTCATAAAAAACTAAATCTATTACAATGCATGATACCTCATATAAGGAGGCCCAAAATAAACATAATTGAAATGACATAAACGCCCTCAGGGCTACATAAGTGAAACAATGCCCTCAGGGGCAAACTAGGAAAACAAAAGAAAATACACTCATAACATAAGATGCAAATAAATCAGAAATAAAGACTCTGGATCGTAGCCGTCGATCTGCGTCTCCAATGATGGTACACGTGTCGAAATCTGATGTCCCCATCAGTAGAGCCCCAAAACACTGAAGGAGTAGGTGAGATTACCCAAGGAGTAAAAAATGTAGATCTGGAAGAAAGGTGTCTTGGAATTATTAGCTAATAAAGGTGGTCTTGTTGGACACTGCCATTATTTTAAGTCATCTCATCATTTTATTTTATATTTTATATTATACACTTCATTTTAAAGTCCAAAAATAATAAGCGATGTCAGTACATAAACTTTCACTTAAAATAACTTTGCAATATTTGAAATCTAAATGATCTATTTTTCTTATAAGAAAAATAATCAATATGAGTTTTATTATATCCATTCTTATAAATGATGAGATGCTCATCTCTATTCTTAAATTAAGTATTAGCAATTACAAAATCTAAAATAGTCTTACCTTCATTAATCACTTCAAACCTATAGCTACCATGAATACTTTTAAGATAATTTAACTCTCTACCAACATGTCCATTTAAATCTCCTTCAATAAAAATTATTTCTTCAAGAGATATCTTTTGTATTAAATATTCTAAGTCATTCCAAAATGTTTATTTTGAACACATATCCAAACATACTTGAGGAGCATAAGTACTTATAATATTAGTAATCTTAGCATCAACAATAATCTTTAAAATTATAATTCTATCTCCAATTATATTATTTTTTATAACATTAACCTTTAAACTCTTATAATCACACCTAAACCATTTCTAGTACTACTCCTACCAGTATATTATAATTTTAATCCTAAACTAATAATATCCTTAGCCTTTTCTCTAAGAATGTATAAAATATTTAAATATATATTAATTTCATTAATTTGCTTATAAGAAAACCTCTATTCCAAGTTCTTATCATAATTTTAGTTTTACATATTAGCTTCTTTGCCCCACATACATACATTATGTGGGAACCCTTGCCTATTTAAATTTTAAAATGACACACAGGTGCCGGAGCAATAGCCCTTGCACACTACTCACTGTATCCAGCATGTCACTGCCAAAAAAACGCCATAACATTAACACAACGCAATAAAGGATTCATATTATGATTATTCGACAAGTTACACTGGTTGTTGACTACCTAATGCACCCTCCATTTTTCTCATCTATGACTTGGGACTTGGCAAAGACATTGTTCAAACCTTAAATAAAACATAAATCTACTACAACAACAACATCAAGCCATTATCTCATTAAATGGGTTCGGCTATATGAATCTTTTTTCTCCATTATGACATGTTAAAAGTTAAATTCTCATTTAAATCTAATAAAGAAATGTCATTTCTAATATTTTCTAACCAAGTCTTTTTAAGTCTACCTCTACCTTTTTTAACATAAGTCAAATCTAATACATCTACTTACCTAACCGGGTCATCGGAAGGTCATCATTTTATGTTACCAAACCATCTAAGGCAACTATCTTTAGTCTTATCTTCCACAGGAGCAACTCCAAACTTTTCACGTATATGCTCATTTCGTATCCTATTTGAGTAAAGCCACTCATCCACCTAATCATCCTCATCTCTACAACACTTAACTTAATATTATGCTTCTCTTTTAATGGCCGACATTCTGCACCATAAAGCATTGCAGGTCTAACCACTATCTTATAGAATTTTCCCTTAAGTTTGAGGGGGACTATTCTATCACACAACAAGCCTAATGCATTCCTCCACTTCAACCATCCAACTTAAATTCTACTAATAATGTCCCCATCTATTTCACTATCACCCTGAATAATGGATCCAAGATATCTAAAATGTGTACTCTTATTAATGACTTGATCACCCAAAATCACAATCCACCCACAAGAACTATTAATATTAAAACTATACTCTATATATTCAGTTTTATATCTACTCAAATGAAAGCCTTTAGACTCGAAGGTTGACCTCCATAATTCAGGTTTATCTTCAACTCCCTCTCTAGTCTTATCAATAAGAAGAATATCAGCAGTAAAAAGTATACACCAGAGTACAACCTCTTGCAAATATCTAGTGAGAACATCCATGACTAAAGCAAAAAAGATATGGGCTTATGGCTGATCCTTGATGTAATCCAACTGAAATAGGAAAATACATGGTCAAACCACCTTGTGTTTGAACACAAGACACATCTCCTACATACACATCCTTCATGACTTGAACATAAGCATTATTAACACATTTCTTTTCTATAGCTCTACGTAGCACTTCTCTTGGAACTTTTATCAAATGCTTTTTCTAACGCAATAAATATCATATGTTGATCCTCCTTAATCTCTCTATACTTCTCCATCAAACCTCTTAATAAATGCATAGCTTCTATAGTAGATCTATGATCCATTAGTATCACGCCGCAACCTATGATCCACAACACTCTCTCATAGTTTTAAAGTATGACATATTAACTTAATTCCTTTATAATTCGCACAATCTTGTGCATCACCTTTATTTTTAAAAATATGAATCAACACTCTCATTCTCTGCTCATCTCACATCTTTTTAGGGGTTGTTTGGTAGCACCCAGGATTCGATTTAAGTAGGATTTCGTAAATCCTCTAAATCCGGATTTCGAAAATCCTAAGGGGCCTTAATAATAAAAATTGTTTGTTAAAATTCATGATAAATCCTATTAAATATCGTGTGACTGTTTGGTTATACAACGGATTTAACGAGCATACTCTTCCTCTTGAGCCAATGGATATCGCAAATCCGGCAAAAAACATGATTTCGGAAATCTGGTATTTAGCACGCAAAGGTGAAATTTTCCCTCTACGTCGGCTTTCATTTGCCGTGAGATTTGGTTTTGCATTTTAGGCCGTTTGGCTGGATTTCGCCCAAATCCGCCCTAAATGCTAGGCTTCAAAATAATATTAAAAAGTTTAGTAAGCCAAATAAACCATAAATCTAATCTTTTATATTTCCTGTAAAGAAAAACTGCAATTCATTGAACGCATAACACGTAGGCCGCCCTACGCGCGTTCATAGAGATAAACAAAAAAATCAAATGAATTCCTAACCAAACGAAAATAAATAAAATAAAATAAAATAAAAACAACAAATCTCATTGAACATACCTGTCTCCTTAATTACTGTCTCATTGATTTGGCAAGCAAAAAAATTCCAGCTATTCCATCTGCCTCCATCATGAACAAAAAAAAAAGTTAAAAGAGCAAACAAACCCCGCCCCGAAACTTCAAGAGCAAGGCTTTTTGGATAAACAAAACTGGTTAAGTAAACGCCGAATTCGACAAAATAACCATAGAACCATAAATAGGCAAGAACAAAATGCTGAGTAATCAAGTAAATCAAAGTGAAAATCGCCGCCCAGCATGAAGAAAGAACATTTAAACTTAAAACATTCTAAAAACCGAAGATAAGAGACGAACCCCATCTGAGGAGTTAAGGCTAAGCCGTTGCTAAGCTGAAGCTTTCCATAGTTAGAAGTGTCGAAGAGTTGGTTTCTGGATTTGGAGTTCTGAGTATCGTCAGTGGGAGGAGTGATTGTGCCCGCGATCACTGGAGAAATGGCGAAGATGGCGAAGATGAAGAGGATAAGAGAGGTTATTCTCATTGCAGTCTACCTCGACAGACAGGAGAAGGCAAAAAGAATCAGACCGGAGTTTCTCGATCCGTTATGCCCTCTGGGTGATGGGGCTTATCCAGATTTGACGCTGTTGTCACCGGTAGGTAGTGTATACTAATTTAGTAATGATCATATATATGATGATTACATTACAAAATTAAAAAAATATATATGGTAAATTATTTTGATGCCCTAATAAAGATTTCTTTGGTTGAGTTAAATTTAAATTTGATATCTCATGATATTATTGTAATATAAAATATATGGAATATCATAAATGATTTTAAGCTTAAGAAGAAATTTCTTATATAAATTAAAATTTGTTTTGATAAAAATTTGAGATAAAGCTTATTTTTCTATCAAGCTTATTGAAAGTCATAAGATGAGAAATTTTTGTAAGTGATAATAGTATATAAATACAATATAATAGTCAATTTTTTAGGATATTCTATGAGTATTGTATCACTTTGAACAGGGAAATTAAATTTAATTTTTAGCAAATATATCAATTTATTAATCTCTCCCTTGTTAAAGCTCTTCTTTATTGACACCAATTATTTATATTTTTCTTCAATCAATAAGTTAGCTCATGCATAGATCATTTGGAACTCCATATAAGAAATAATTAATCAAATAAAAACAAACAAAATAGAGCTTCATATTTTTTAGTGAAAAGAATTGTGATGCTATATTTAACAATAAATCAACAATTAATAAAGGGGGATTTACACACATATTGTGAAATTCTTAGGCATTTACAAATCTAAGATGTATTTCAGTTTAGATAAATTGTTATTGATATTTTTTTTTTGTAATTTAAATATTAGAGCATTATAAAAATAAAAAATATTAAGAATTTAGATATGAAAATATTTAAGACTTTAAATAACTTAAGTCCGTGTCATCTCTATCCATTAATTTTGAAAATAATTTTAATTTTTTTGGGAAGGTTTTTTATATTTTGAAAAGTACTTTTTTTTTAATTTCTTTTGAAAATTAAATAGGTATATATAATTTTAAATCTGTATATTCATTTAAGACCATTATTTGAAAATAACTATCATCATTTATATATTTAAATAAATTTGGAGAACTTAAAATATAAGAAGATCTACAAGCTAAATTTGGTATATTTGGATAAATATATGAGTTGTCTATGCGGATGCAACTCATTAGGTAAGAGTAAGTGTATAAATGAATTTAGCGTGTTTGAAATAGAAATTAAGAGGATTATCTAAGAAAAAAAATTGATCTTCTTAAATAAGATATGGAAGTTTTTTTTTTCTAAACAAAAAAATCATTATATTAGATTCAAAAAGGAGTACACAAGATAAAGAGGAAAAGCTCAAAAACAAAAAACAATAAAAAGGACAAAATGAAATCCAAATGAGGGCTTAGTAATCGGCCGAGGCTTCCAGCTTCCCCGAAGTCTCGCATGGACCATCCAATATGGTGAAGAAAGCGGATTTTTCTTTGGTCCGGTGCAAGGACCTAGAGGAAGGTTCGGTTTTGTCTAAAAAAGTGCAAATACCGAGTTTTTTGAAAAAATACCGAGTTTTTTGAAAAACTCGGTATTTGCACTTTTTGACCTATTTTTGCCTAAAACCGAACCTTCCTCTACATCCAGTGAAAGGACCTAATAATTGCTCGAAGAAAGCGCACCAATCGATCCAACCAAGTATGAGAACATCACAAGAGGTTGCCACCAGCTAAGACGACGAGGAAACGAGCCCTAGCCATATCATAGCCCAACAATCAGACGATCCACCAAAACGACCAAAAAACCAGATAACCAATCCAGATGAAACAATAGGGAACAATCACTGAAAAAAAGGGACTATCTTCCTCTCCTACCCCTCCCACGAAGCCTCCCACGAGAGGCAACAAAGAGGACAGGTCTATCATGAACCAGTTTAAAATCATGTCCAGGGTCAGAGCCACCACAATTATCCGAAGAGGAATCAGAATCGGATTCAAATTCAGACGTACATTGCAACCAATCAAGATGAGTCCTAACATCCATTCCTGAATTATCACCCACATGATACACCAGTGCTTGGGTGTTGATCAAATTCACAGGCACATTAACAAAAGAATTAGAGCAGACCATCATTCCTTTTCCAGCAATATTATCCACCCCTCCACAATCCTCATTAAGGCTCATAGGCGAGGCAGACTTACCCGAAGCCTGGACACCCAAATCAGGAGAAACAACATTATCCAACCCTCCACAATCCTCATTACAACTCACAAGCGAGCCAAACCTACCCGAAGCCTCGACATCCAAAACATCCACATTATGAGACAACAACAAACACGGAGCAGACGAGGGATCGAGCTCAGCCAAAACAGGACAAGCGTTAAGAGCACAACCCATACCATCGCTATTACTAACAACAGCCCGAGAAAGTTGGGGGGTCTGAAAATCCCCAAACACCCCTTCCTCAGCAGCAGACACAGCGGCATCCCCCCAACACAACAGAACTCCCACCAGCCAACGGGGCGGAGACCCCACAACAACAGGAGTTAAAACCGGTGAACCAACAGGGGACAAGGCAACAACTACAACACCAGGATTAGCAATACCACTTCCCAAAACCTCCAACACATAAGGAGCAACGACATTATCAACATTTTCAACACAGAGGGGAATTGAATTAGCGCTCGGGTTAGAAGAATCATTAGGAATGCCAACCGAAACAAGACGTCATTTATCCGGAGCATGACCAATACATTTACAGGAAGCACAGAAATGGGGAAATTCATCTAACACAACCTCCTGGACATAACCTAAAGTTTCAGAGCCTAACCAAACTTGCTGAGGATAAGATTTCATTATATCAAGTTCGACTAAAACACGAGCATTTGAAGGTCGGGAACCAACAGAGATTGCTTCATCAATTTTCAAAGGCTTTCCAAAAATCTCACCAAGCCCATAGTGAATCCAAGGGGTGAAGAAGTGGGGACGAAGACGTGGAAACGAAATTCAAATCGGAATTATAGGCGACTCAACACCTATATCCAAGCAAGACGACCATTTCGTTAATTTTATATAGCAATTAAACACAAGGTAGGATCGGTGACAAAACACCCTACAGTAATCTAGATCATTAGATAACTTGATCAAAATGTGAGAGGGACCCAACAAAGTAACAGAAACTTCACCATTAAGCTTCAAATTAAAGAAAAATTTCTGAATAGAGTCAAGAGCAGGTCTCTTAGAAGGGAAGAAACCTACTAACGAGAATTGAAAGGGAGTAGCTAAATCTTTGATTTCATGGTCGGAAATCCATAAAGAGGGCAAACCACGAAACGTAGAAGTCCGAAGATCTGGATACTAAGGAGTAGAACCAACAAGCGCCTCTAAAAAAGACTGAGAATGAGAAACACCCCCAAAAAACCAGGGTCCCTAAGTTTACTAGCACTACAGGAAAACATCTCAATTCTGGCGGAATTTCCGGCGAAAGTAAATTCGTCACAAATTCCGGCGGATTTCAGACGGAAAATTTTTGTCAAATTTCCGGCATATTATTTGATTGCATTTCCGACGGATTTTTTCCGACAAAATTTCCGGCGGAATTTCCGACGAATTTCCAACATAAATTAAATTTTTTAAAATTTTAAAAAATTATTTAAATAACTTATTATGAAATTAAATATTTTAATATTTAAAAAAAAAATTAAATTATAATAAAATAAAATAAATTATAATTTAATTATTTAAAAACAAAAAAATTAAATGATTTAAATTAAAACTTAAATTATAATAAAAATATTCAATTATTTATTTTGTTAAATTAAGTTAAATAATATAATAATTTATTGTGAAATTAAATTAACTAATTTAATAATTCATTATTAAATTAAATTATTCATTTTATATTTAAAAAATAAATTATTTTTTATATTTTTAAGTTATGATTTAAATAAAATAAAGTAGCAAACTTAACAGTTTTCCTTTGATGACCAGATGTTAGATGGCGCAAGGCCTTACGCGTGCGGGAGCAGGGCGGGGGTTCGAACCCCGCAAGAGACATTTCGCGCGGGCTGCCTACTTCGGGTTGCTGGGCTTGGCGATCCACGCCTGGGCTGGGTCTACCGATTCGCGGTTGGGCGAATTTCGGGCGGCTGCTAGTGCTGAGCTGAATGTTGGAGTAGCGGGTGGGCTTAGCTAGGCGGGTCCGATCAGGTTGAAATTTTTTTTTTCTTTACTTTACGGCGCAAAAACAATCCGTCGGAAATATTTTTCCAGCGAAAAATTCGTCGGAAATTCGCCGGAAACATTTTCGGCGAATTATTCTCCGCTGGAAGGCCTTTTCCGACATGTGTTTTACCGGCGAAATAATTTTCGTCGGAAATCCGCCGGAAATGTTAATTTCCGACATATTTGGTGGATTTTTTCGATGAAATGGCCACCGGAAAATGACGTTTTTCCTGTAGTGTAAGCGTCATACCGGCACCGCCGGAGAAAACCAACCAAAATAAACACCAAAACAATAGGAGAACACAGGAAAGAAAAAAACTTCCCGTAATCCAGGAGATCGGCGGAAGGGAAGCCCCGCGGGGCGGGGAAATACCCGGAACAGCCCAGCAAAACGAAACCCTAGTAGAGGCGGCTGGAGAAGCGAATAATAGCTTGACCCTCAATAAGATATGGAAGTTGCTTGTTAAGATGGTGGGTCGAAGGATATGGGATCCCTAGAAAAACTTGGTTTGTAAAGATATTTATCTAAATACATAGATAAATAAAGCATATTTATAGTACATTTATGGAGTGTTAAAACAAAGATGACTTAATTAAACAATTACATAATTCATCTAAACAAATATGATTTAATTAGATAAAAAGAAAATGCTCAGGTGAATGTGAATCACCTGAACATAACATGACTTAGATAAATGTAGAGTTTTTTAATCAAAAGTTGATATGAACATGGTTAGAATTACAACATGAATTAGTTTGATAAATTAGGTAAACCAAGACAGACCTAGATCTACTAGATTGAGTTGAACAATTATGCATGTGATTTAG